TATATATAGTTTATGCTAAATTAAGTGCAATAGTGAGTGTTGTGAAATGGATATTTTTTTTAGCACCTAAGCTATTCTTGTCACAGCACCAATTAAAGGAAGGGGGTGCATGCGGCCGGCGTTGTTAGGACATCTCTGATTTAAATTATGATAAAAAATGATTTATTTTATTATGCAATTAATTTTGTCTGTGTGGTGGCGCATTAAAAATACGGAATATCCCTCTTAAACACATAGGTGTCGTAACAGCCGAATAGAGGAGCAAACGCTGCACATAACAGCACTGAAAAGAGAAGAAAAACTTGAGCCAACCCCTATACCAACCCGTTTGGCCCTCGTGGTATAGTAGGCCAAAACCTGCTTTGCCTATGTCCAGTGGACTATGAGAGAATGTTGATGTTTGCCATATTTAATAACTCGCATTTACGTGCCTGCAAATCAATTAGTCACTGCTGATAATGAAATGTTTACCATAAAACCGTTTATGGTAGTCATTCTATTTTATTGGCGTTAAAAATATCTTGTTCAACAAAATTCATATTTACTACTTATGATATTTAAATTATATGTTTTGGTTTTCCTTAAACGAGTTTGTTTCCTTGCATAATGCCAGTCGCATAGTGTTCAATATTTTGGCAATTATAGTAAAATGAAATAACAAGTGGTTTATGTGTTATCAATGAAAAGCCTATTGATCTAGTGTTTAGTGACCCTGACTGCTAAACCACAAGAAATGGGGTACTCCTCCAATGGATTAAAGGGAACAGTAATTCTCACGGTAATGACGCTGCAGATGAGCTGGCAAGAAGGTGCTCAGTAACTCCAGCCACCGCCTTTTAAACAACTTCGATCCTGGGTCAAACAGCGCACTCGTGAAGCGCAGAACCGAAGGTGGAAATACTCACCTGGCTGCTGACAGTCACCACCACGACTTACTTGCAGACTAATCAGTCTTAGCAGACTAGATATCCGAATAGTTGTAGGAACCATAACAGGATACCTAGTCCTGAACCGACAACTATTGAGCATTAATGCGCGGACAGTCCACTTTGCAGAGGATGCCTAAATGCGAGGGAGTGGCCAATCAACGGACCAGTACCATACCTGGTACCAGATTTCTGGAAGGAGATTGGTTGACTCACCCAGCCAACCCGTCTCATAGACGTATAAAGGACTCTCCAGTCTAAATGCGGAAATCGGAGCCTACAACCAATACCAATACCAATTTTGCCGCGTCTGGGTGTAACTTGGCTCTGGATTTAGAAATATATTAGTGTGTTATCAGCAGTCTGGTTACCAGAGTACAGCTTCTGCCTAGTATGGGATCAGAATCAGACTGCCTTGTGTGCGATGTGTAAGGTTATTATTATTCATTTTAAACCTAAATACATATTTTAAGGAATATTTTTTGTTGTTGACAATACTTCAGGTAAGTCTTGTCAACAACAAAGAAATCAGTTAGACAATAACATTGGTTTTTTTATTGTGGTCCCTAATACTTAAAAATACTCATCATGTTAAATTATGTATTTAAATATGACTTGAAAAACGGTGCGAATTTTTCTGTTGACCGTACTTAGCAGACATTTTTTTTTGATGTTGTTGTTTGAAAATCCCACCTAAAAATAAAAATGATTTTATTAAAAAGTTTAAACAGGACACAACGAGACTTGTGAGCGTTTAATCTAAATCATTATGTCACATGAAATAGATTTTAGGGTTCCGTAGCCAAAATGCCTTAAAAAACCGTCTGTCCACACTATTAGTGCTATGGTTTGCCATTTTTCGCAGACTATTAGTGCTAGAAACCTGTATTGGAACTAAAATTACATTCGGCATAATGTAGGGGTTTAATACGGCTATACCTGGTTTCCCGGCTATTAGTACCCGAGACGGCGTGCGGTTTTAGTCGGTTCGAGTCCGACATGCCACCGCTGGTATCAGAGGGGATTTCCGCACGGGGAAAAAAAAAGGGGTTTAATACGGCTCTGTCCACCCCTTCAGGGCTGACGGCGTGAGCGTGTATATCTATAATAGTAAAATTAATTTGAGACCACTTAATTTATTAGCTATATTACATAATTAATTCTACTTCATTCGTAAGCGAAGATCTTGGAATCCTGTTCGCCTGTTTCAGGTTCTGTTGTCAAAATTTATATACACACACACATACATTCACACCTATATACCCACAGTAATATTTTATCTGATAATTTGTTTAGGTACAAATAAATCGACTACTTTGCATAGCAAAAACATTTATTTCATATTTTCCTCAATATCAGGAATGTTCATTATCAACTGGATTGCCCTTGTAGGGTACACCTAAGCCTCAGCTAAGTACCTGAGAACCTAGTGTAAGTTTATTTTTCTTCTACTCGAGTGTCACGGTGGGTGACCGCGTTTGGCGTTGTGACTGGCCTGTAATGAAATCTTCATCAATCAGAACACCAAACGCACTCACCGTCGAAAGCGAGTTGATGCATGATACCCTTTCACAAACCATATGATGACGAAACACTGGAATTTTAGTAAGTTCGAGTGTGATACACCAACTATAGGTCCATTAAAGAGACGAAGCGTTGGAGTTTCCATACAAAAAATGAATTTTCTTTAGGTTTTTCTTTGGGAGATATAGATTCAAATAATATTTTATGATCATGACTACTTGAAACAAAAAAAACATAAAATACCAATTATATTTCATACGTAACATGAGAAGATTTAACATAAAATTAGCATCAGTAAATTTTTTAGCCGTATATTTTAAAATACTTTAAACAGGTCAATAAATTAGATGTAAATTATTATTATTTAATTTCCATTATAATATGCTGTCACATTCTAGTTCTACCGGTTCCGACACATCAGACATTTTTTTTAAATGTCCGGATTTAAAAGCATTTTCTATTTATTAAAATATCATCATCATCATCAACAGCCTATAATAGTCCACTGCTGGACATGGGCCTCTCCTTAGAAAGGAGGTTTTAGCCTACTATACCACGCTGGCCAGACGGGTTATTAAAAATATATCATCAAAATACGCCATCAGTTGTACTGAGATACTAATGAAATCTGCTTCTTTTTATTAAACATGGTATGAACAAAATTACAGACTTGTCTAGTATGGAGCCACTAGTACTGCGGGGATTGGAGACAGTCTAGTACTTGGTCACCAGACCTCTCAGAAGGTTGTTAGTTGTCGATCGGGTTGTCCGTAACCTGTTAAGCAGCGCGTGTCCGTCTCTGATACTCCATTAATTCCCCCGTTCTAAAGTTTTGTCACCTGCTGATGTTTTGTTATATGCTGACCCTTCCTTTATTTTTCCAAGGATGTTATAAACTTGTGTTTTTCATAGTCTGTTTTGAGTTTATAATTGAAATTACAGAAATTTCCACAAGGCCCATAAGTTTTACGTAAAATTGCGTTGTGGGGAAGATTCTGCGAATGTATGTTTATATAGATGCTACATTGATTTCCTCTTCTAATCTACTCGTATTTTACTTTTACTTACGTATTTTACTTTTACTTACGTATTTTACTTACTTTTACTTAGTAGGTACACCAGCCACTACCCTACACCTCCTTGCCTTTATGTTTTTCTCTCCATACCAAGGTTGCCTGTAAGAGATTGCCTCTGAGCGATAAGGCCGCCATTTGTACCTGTCTAACCTAGCTTAAGTTAATCTTTATATATTTATACCTGGTGTACAATACAGAGATTTATTATTATTATTATTATGTTTAGTTTCCTGCATAAACTAGATTAAATTGGGATTGATCCAAGGATATGTATTAGTTAAGTGGCTTTTGTAATCTGTTTGTTACGCTTACTAATTCCTATGGCAAGTACGAGTATATAGTGGACTCCCCCAGGTTATGAGCTCCAGTGGCTTCAGTCACAGAATTGTTTAACACCGGTATGTGTCGAAACATGAGTCCCTTTTGAAAAAGTATTTTTTCTTCACAAATCTAAATTATTATCGATTGCGGTCAAGGCTATGTCTCATCATCATCATCATCAACAGCCTTTTCTAGTCCACTGTTGGACATAGGCCTCTCCTTAGAAAGGAGGTTTGGCCTACTACACCACGCTGGCCTGACGGATTGGCATAGGGTTTGTGTCAAGTTTTCCTTCTCTCTGCAGTGCTGTTGTCCTGCGTAATTAGCTCCCTTAGTCACCTCTTACGACACCCATATCACCTATGTCTATATTAATATTATCAACAATAATGAAACTTAGTATATTAAGTAAATTGAATCTTACTAAGTTTATCTTACAATTATAACATTTTTAGCTTTGGTTTATTATATTAAAAACCATGACATGAGGTTGTGATGTGGTGTAATTGCAGTGTGAAAAGATTTAGGCGCTTGTATAGTATAGTATTCAATACCAATCGAATTAAAGTTATCTGAATTCAAGTTGCGTAAAAAATCATTGAGTTCTAATTTATCAATTCTAAGATATGCTTAGAAAATATTCAATACTAGTAGTCCCCTACCGTTTCATCTACCTTTTGCTCTTCATCTTTATTAGGTTTCATACACAATAGATGAGAAAATGAATTCTCTTCATATATTTTTTCGTGAATTCTTGAAACATTTTCATCATCATCATCATCATCAATAGCCTTTACTAGTCGACTGCTGGACATAGGCCTCTCCTCAGAAAGGAGGTTTTGGCCTACTATACCACGCTGGCCAGACGGGTTGGTATAGTTGGATTGGTTGAAACATTTTAATAGGTAGTTATTATATTCAGAGACAAATCTAAAAAGAAACTTAATATCATAAAATCAGTAATTGAAAAATCCCAGATATTGAAAAGGTACTGGTACTATATTGACTGATTTTCATAAATCCCATAAATCGTGTATCTACATATGTATTAAATGTTATTAACTTTTTGTACCTATTGTTTCAGGCAATCTTGGAAATGCTGTGCAGATAAGAGTGAATGCTTGTAATTATCCTTTATACATAGTCTGCCACCATGGGGTACATCACTAAAGTGGACTGTGAAGGGAATAAGCCAACAAAAAGTATGTATTTATTGATTAATTGAAAATGTATGTACATAGTCTCCAAAAGAACATGCCAATTTAATGACTAGTAATGACATTCATAAACCATTTACCTTATTTAGATACTAGGTCTTGGCCACGGCAAAAGTAGCCATGTCTTTACTCCAGAATCAAAGTATCTTTATACCGAATTTTATTTAAATCGGTTTAGCGGTTTTTGATTGCCCAGACAAACTTCCACTCCCCTTTTCACTCCTATAAAAGATGTTTTCTGGAATAAAAACTACCCTATCTCCTTCCATGGGACTCGGATGATCTCTGTACCAAATTTCATCTAAATCGGTTAAGCGGTTTAAGAGGTAACAGATAGAAACACAGACAGACAGACACACTTTCGCATTTATAAAATTAGTATGGATTAGTATGGATTAAAGTAATAACTATTTCTGACATGCTTGAACAAAATGTTTGCTTAAGGAAAACATAAAACATTCAGTTAGAGATAATAAATGAACAGCTAGATTTAGTTATAAGATAATATTCTTGACATGATTAAATGACTGTTTATATCGGTTTCTCAAACATAAATAACTACAGTTTATCCTCAAGACAGTTTTTGCTGTAATAAAGTAACTGTTCTCAAAACAGACAGTGATTATTTGAGACAATAATTATATAAGATGATGGATAAATAATAAAACTATACATTAATTATTCATAATGGTAATGTATGAATATATTGTCCGTGTGGTGACGGATAAAAAATACGGAGAAAATAGTACCATTCCTATTCATCCCGGCATAGGTGTCGTTAGAGCCGACTAAGGGAGCAAACTACGCAGGACAATAACACTGCCAATACAAGGAAAACTTGAAACAAACTCTGTACAAAGCCGCCTGACCAGCCTGGTAAAATGGGCCAAAATCTCCTTTCTAAGGAAAGGCCCATATCTAGCAGTGGACTTTTAAAGGCTATTGATGATGATGATGATAATGATAATATCCAATTAATTTAAAAATCGGTCTGTCTTAGTTGCTAAAGCATTTTTGCGCCGAGTAATCTGTTTATCAGACATTTACAGAAATATAAAAACCTACTTATTGCCACAATGCGTAATGGTTCCTTCTATTTCCTAACTTTTCCAATACATTTGAATCTGATATGAGAATGACTGGCCTGTTGGTCTAGTGGTTAGTGACCCTGACTGTTACGCCAGAGGTCGTGGGTTCGATTCCCACACAGTACAAATATTGTGTGATGAGCACGGTCATTTGTTCCGTATCTGAGTGTACTATATCAATAATATTTATGTGTTTAGAAATATATAAGTATGTACATCAGCAATTTGGTTACCATAGTACAGGCTCTGCCTAGTTTGGAGTCAGGCGGCTATGTGTGAGATGTGCAAAAACATTATTATTATTATTATCTACTCCAGTGTTAGACAAAAAAATAAGCTGTTTAATGGATCTTTTTATCTTTTTGCAGTAAAACTCTGCACGAGCTTGACATTTGGACTAATATTTCTGATGATAACTGCTCTAACCATTATCCTGGAACCAATATCAATAACATCGAGATATGTAAGTTTATATATTGCAATCAAGCCAATAACAAATATTGATTAGGCATAAAAAAAACAGAAAATCACGTATCGTTACGGCACCTAACTGTCTATCTGTCGATCCTGATAATATGATAGTACTTAAAGATACTGCCTTGCTTGACTGTTTAAGACGCTAAGTAAACACTTGTCGTAATAACACTATTGTTTTTAAACATTCTTTTTAATTATTTGTAATATTATCTCTCTTTTCTGGTTGAATTGGTAGTCAGTCTAGCTCTGGTGGGTCAGGAACCCATAATGCAAGTTTTTGCAACGCTTTCATTGCAATGCAACGCTCCCAATGCAAATTTAGAAATTACAGCTTTTAATTATGTTCGGCAAAATATGTCATAACGCCAAACAGCTATAATCTCCCAGATCATTGATATAGTACATTACATTGTCATGCTCTCTCTCTAATAAATCATGATTAACTAAACAAACTATGACAGAAAACCAGATTTCTGCATCAAAGGGTTTTTTTGATAATAATTTACAAATTTTTCCTTACAGATAGCGCGGATGGACAGTGGGACCTTGATGCATGAAGCACTTAAAAGAGAGACAGACAGTGTCCACCTATCTTTGTATCTTTTCAACATTACAAACGCTGAACAGTTCGTCAATGGAGAAGATGAGAAGCTGAAGGTTCAGGAAGTCGGACCTTTTACATACCAGTAAGTACGACTAAGAGAGAAAATGCCTACGGCATAAAGTCCGCCTTTGTCACGTTTGTGCATAAAGTATAAATAAAAATAAGAAAGTTTTGGTTTCAAAAATGCTTTCAAAATTTCAATACTTAAAATAGTGTATTAAGGTAAGTCACGAACAGAACAAAACCAGACGGCCTCTTGCGGATGACCACCTTTTTGTGTGGAGGGCAATGAGTCATGTTTTACATAATGAATATAACTGGTAGTGTGCTTATACAGGTCATCGTCCACGTTATTTAGAATTCTGATCAGTTCAATATTGTAACGTGTTTTATTTTTGGTATATCTAGATATACTAGTATGTAACCAATGTTGTGTGTATAAAGCGTGAAAATACAGTTTGATTAATTAAAACTTTCAGCAAAACCTTTTTAAATAATTCCTTTGATACGGATTCTAAAGATCATGTTTGGCTTCTGGTAAGCGGTTCAAGTGTATTTCAGCGCTTTAAGTATTTATATTTCATACTTCACACATCAACAGCCTATGATAGTCCACTGCTGGACATAGGACTCTCCGGTGAAAGGAGGTTTTAGCCTACTATACTACGCTGGCCAGACGGGTTGGTATAGAGTTTGTATCAAGTTTTCCTTCTCTTTGCAGTGCTGGTTGTCCTGCGTTAGCTCCCTTAGTCACCTTTTACGACACCTACGGGATGAATAGGGGTGGTAACACTCCGTATTCTTAATCCGTCACCACACGGAAAACATTGTCAGTGACAACAATTTTTGAGAAATAATCTTAAAATCTTAATCTAGCTCTGTGTGTTACATAGATAGTGTGCCTAGTGCTTTGAACCCGTGAGAGTTCAGTCACGTAGGTAAATAGACCGACTGCGCATGACTACGATGCCTTCTTATTCTAAATTCAGTTTTTCAATTACAGACAGGCTTAAATCTCAATATCGTGTATTTAGTATCCTGAACGCTTTATGTTTATACGAAAATCGTAGTAAAAAATATCTCATCATCATCATCATCAACAGCCTTTAACAGTCTACTGCTGAACATAGACCTCTCCTTAGAAAGGAGGTTTTGGCCTACTATACCACGGGTGGCCAGACGGGTTGGTAAAAAATATCTAATTTGTTAAAAAGAACCTATCAGAAGTCGAAAATGTTTTCTAGAGTTTTCTCATACGTTTTGAATGATATGGAAACAAAAATGAGTTTTTTTACAAAACACTATATTATTATATACTCGAGATAGTTAGAGCTAGTCATGGTCGGATACCTGTGACTCAAATTGACTATTGACGGAAAGATTTCAAACCTTCAATTGATTTGCTTTTAAATATTTGCTATACACTGTCCGTGTGGTGACGGATTAAGAATACAAATTGTCACCACCCCAATTCATCTCGTGGGTGTCGTAAGAGCCGACTAAGGGAGCAAACTAAGCAGGACAACAGCACTGCAAAGAGAATGAAAACTTGAAACAAACCCTATACCTATGTCCAGCAGTGGACTAGTATAGGCTGTTGATGATGATGATGATGTTATACTAAAGAATACGAGGCAAACAATTAGAGTTGTATTTTTACTGTATTTATTAAAATGTAACTATCACCTGATTTCGAAGGGAAACATCGTGAATACACCTGCATAAATCATTATAATACTAGACCCAATAGTCCGTTTATATTTATAGATAGCTGTTTTACAAAATAATATATTATGTACTCGAGATAGTTAGCGCTACTCATGGTCGCGTACCTGTGACTCAAATTGACTATTGACGGAAAGATTTCAAACCTAATTGACTTTGTTTTTAACATAAATCTACTCTTGTATAAAACAGACCTTGAAAGAATACTAGGTATACAATACTCGTAAGAGCTGGGTGTAAAAAAGTTAGCGATGTATGAACAAAATTAGAAAAAAATATTACAAGAAAACCCATCTTCTAGATAGATTTACCATATTATGACTCAAACTTGATGATAAATAGTCTTCATAATAGAAAAAGGTAGATTTCAATAAATGCGTACGATTCTTCCATATTTTTATTTGCCTTTGACGTGTGTATACAGATTTGTGTGTATGCTTCTTTAATATTATATCTAATCTTTATTTAAATTAATAGGGCTTTTTGACCTCGGACATATCAACAAAGCCTATCTGTTGGCGAAGGTTTTATGCTAATTTAGACATTAATTTACTATGCAAAAGTAATTAATTTTGCATGTTCACTTGCCTTCAATTTATAGTTACTTTAAGGTAGTCTACCTTAAAGTAACTATAAGGTAGGCGTAATAATTACCTATAAGAAAATACATATCTAGGGTTCCTCTTAGGAGTTTTTTAATATTGAGTTTATGAAATCAAGAGAATTAAATTTGACCTCTCATAATAATTTTTATGTTTATAAATCTAAATTAAATTTTAGTAAATTTACGAACGGTGACGGATGTCCGTGTGGTGACGGATTGTCCGGGTGTTGACGGATTAAGAATACAGAGTGTCACCGCCCCTATTCATCCCGTGGGTGTCGTAAGAGGCGACTAAGATAGCAAAATACGCAGGACAACAGCACTGCAGAGAGAAGGAAAACTTGAAACAAACCCTATACCAACCCGTCTGGCCAGCGTGGTATAGTAGGCCAAAACCTCCTTCCTAAGGAGAGGCCTATGTTCAGCAGTGGACTGTTAAAGGTTGTTGATGATGAAATTTAAAATAGTTACATGTGTGTAACAATGGTAGTGCTCGTGATTACTATTTATAATAATCTATCTCGGCTTCTATTGGGCTATTCAACACAAAAAGAACTTTGCAATTCGAACTAGTAGTTTCTAAGAATAGCACGGTCAATTAAACAAACCTTTATACCTAATGTTAGTATTGACTAATAAATCTTTTTCAAAATACTAAATAAAAGAATGTATACCAGTACACAATTTAACAATACCCACTCATCAATATCAAATAATCAAATCAAGGAACAAAACTTCTGTCCAGCTCTGATATCGCGGTAAAAAAGAGAGCTCTTACTGGGGTCGCATGGCCTAACACCCCATGCCATGCCTCACTCTAAACGGAAAGTGACGTCACTCACCACGTTCCTTAAAATAAAAATTTCCCGTAATTACCGCTTATTATAGATAATTTTAATAACCCATTTCGGCAACCACATTCATGAGACATAGATTTATACTCAAGATATGTCATTCATTATTTTCCATCAGCTATTGTACCTATGACTCTAGTACATTTTAATGTGTCTACAACAAAAGGCAAATCCAAACAAAAATTTACAATTCGAAAAACTTGTATGATTTTATTTCTTACTAGCTGGTGCCCGCGACTTTGTTTGCGTGGAATTAGAAAAGCGTTGCCTAAATAGGCTTAATTTTATTAAGGGTTTTCTGAGAAAAGAAATAGCCTAAGATTCTCCATATATACAGCTAGCTAGTAGTAAAATATTATCAAAATCGGTCTGGCCCGTTTTGAAGCATACCCGAACAAACAGACAGACAGACAAAAAATGTTTAAACTTGTTTTTAGACATATGTAGGTATCGTGCAAATAACCGTGTGAGCATGAAAAAACTTATTATTTTGACATTACAAACAGACACTTCATTTTTTTATAAATTCATGATTTTAATGGCTTAGCTAGGAAGTAACTAATTGAGGAAATAAAAAATGGAAGTTAATTTTAAAATACTTTTAAATGCCTCATTGAATTAAAACTTAATGTAATGAAATTTTCAGTGCTTTTAGCGAACCTCTTCAGTACGGGTTCATATGATTTTTGATGAGTCCGATAAATTAGGCTTCTTAACCAAAATCTAATGATGAAATCAGGTCATAGTGAAGTTATTTGTTACTTTTTATTTGGTTCGCACTTAAACCGTATTTTTTTACTTTTACTAAACTATTATTGTTAAACCTATAAAGTGGTCTATGTAGAACCTATAAAGTAAAACCTATTTAGGTGACAGATTTAATTGTATTAATCAGTCTGTTTACCAATTATGTGCTAGAATAGGTAAATATTCAATGAACTATATAGTTACAATTCAAAGTCGTTTAGTGAACTACCCCTTTTTCTTTTTCACCCACCGGTGGTTATGTCGGACATGAACCGACTAAAAACCACACGCCATCTCGGGTACCAGTAGCCGGGGAACCAGGTGTACCCTAGGAAGGAAATTCCTGGAACCCCGACGGACCCGTGCCATCTACGGCTTGTAGATGACCCCCTCGTAGTGAATTACCCCTTTTTTTTCTTTCTTTTTTTTTTCCGTGCGGAAATCCCCTCGGATACCACCTATCGGTGGCATGTCGGACTCGAACCGACTAAAACCGCACGCCGTCTCGGGTACTAATAGCCGGGGAACCAGGTATACCCTATCGTAGTTACCTACCCCTGAATTAAAATGAAGAATAATATTTGCTAATAAAAAAGAATTCGCTTCATTACTTTCTTCCTTTTATCTCAAACCATTTTAATGTTTAGTTTTTTTATCTTTCAGGGAAAACCGCACAAATGAAGACCTAGAGATAGATCATGAAGCGGGGGTGGTACGTTACACCCCCCGGCACAAAGTCACTTTTCTACCCGAGGAGTCCATTGGTGATCCTAAAGATATCATTCTCACCCTGCCAAACATTGCTATGTTGGTAAGAGCTTGTAATTCAATTTGAAGTTTTTTTTTTTTTTTTTTAAAAGACAACTCCCGCATTAGGAATATATCCTGTTTCGCGGGGGACTTTACAAACATACATGAAACGGACACAAAGAACACCCAGACTCAGAACAACAATTTGTGGATCACACAAAGTGTTGTCCCATGTGGGGTTCGAACCCACAACACTCGGCGTAGTAGGAAGCGGCGTGGCGACCACTTAAACCACTACGCCATCCGTGCATGTGCCATGTGTAATTTGATGACGGGTCTGTTGGGGTAGTAGTTAGTGACCCTGACTGTTAAGCCAGAGGCCGTGGGTTCGATTCCCACCCAAAACAAATATATGAACACGATCATTTGTTCTGTGTCTTGGTGTAATTTATATATAACATGACGTATTATTATTATAATATTTATTTCTAAAATATTTCACACATCTCACACACGGCTGTTTGATTCGAAACTAGGCAGAGCTTATGCTATGGTAACCAAACCTCTGATAAACATACTTATATATTTCTAACTCATCATCATCATCATCAGCCTTTAACAGTCCACTGCTGGACATAGGCCTCTCCTAAAGTAAAAACATTCACACCAACACCCAACACCCAGACTCAGAACAACAATTTGTGGATCACACAAAGTGTCGTCAAATGTGGGGATCGAACTCACAACCCTCGGCGTAGTAGTAAGAAGAAGTAGTACGTAGAAGTAGTAGTAGTACAGGTAAGGCCATCTGTCACCCTAGCAGAAGCAGTGTGGAGGCAATACGCGCTGCGGAGCGCGCTTGCCCTATCGGGAGCACAACGGGAATATGGGGGTCCCCACAAAGGAGGGGGTCATCTACCCGCCGTAGATGGGCCGAGGTATGTCGGGGTACCAGGGATTTCCTTTCTAGGGTACATCTGGTTCCCCGGCTACTATTACCCGAGACGGCGTGCGGTTTTTAGTCGGTTCGAGTCCGACATAACCACCCACCGGTGGTATCCGAGGGGATTTCCGCACAGAAAAAAAAGGATAAAATTCTGTAAAGTTTTGGTTAGGAAAAAAAATGCACCCATTTATTTTATTTGTTATTTCCAGTCGATGGCTTCTAAAGTAACGAACTACGGGTACTTTGCAAAAATGGGCTTTAACATGTTGGCTAGAAGACTCGATAGCAACGCAACGGTCACAATAAATGCTCACGACTACATGTGGGGTTTTGATGAACCTTTAATCCGGCTTGGGAACCAAATTATGCCGGGTTGGATTAATTTTGAGAAGCTTGGATTGTTGGACAGGGTAAGCCAAGAGATTTATTTTACTAATCATATCAGATCTTACCGGCTATCCGGCTCGATGAGTTGATGACTTATCCGGCTCGAAGGACCAATGTTTGATCTTCGAATATTGCAGCAAAGTTATAAATTAAAGGTGGACTGTATTTTAAATTGATTTATTATACTGTACATGTAATATGAAACGATTCGGGATAACGCGTGTGTCTTGTGCGCCGCTCGGTCGTCAAGTAAAGTGGCTCGTGACACCCTCAATTGCCGCAATCGTCGCTCCCGACGGGCTCCGCCGCTCCCTCAGTTCCCTCGGTGGTTGTTCCTCGCGCCTCACGCGTGAACACCAACTACAAGTAACTTGGGTAATCCAAGAACAATGATCAAAAACAATAATAAAATACTTTTACGAGAGCGATGCTGCAGATTCTAATCTAAGTAGATCAATAAAATTAATCACTTAAGTAAGATACATTAATTATTACCATAATATTTGTATATGGCTTGCAGTTGTATGACAATAAAACATCTATAAGGCTGGAAGTGAGCAGCAGGGACAGCGATAAGTTTATGGTCAAAACTGTAAATGGTGTTGCTGGGTTGAAGCAGTGGGGTTATGAAGAGAATAAAACCAGGTACTTATATCATTCAATTTAATGTTTATTGCACTTGTTTTAGAGGCAAGATATGGTGACAATGGACTCTGTCAGTCACGGTTAATGTAGAAGACAGGCACAGAAGCCGGTTATTTAAAAGTTAAGAAATAAATAAGTACAAACAAACTGCCTTAGATATCGACAGACCTGTTGATCGAATGGTTACCGATCCCAACTGCTAAGCTAAAAATCGTAGATTTCCCTCCCACCTACGACAAAAATATTGTGTGATGAGCACAATCATTTGCTCTAAATCTGGGTGTAATTTATCTATAGTAGGTATGTGGGTATTTTGAAATATAAAGGTTTTTTTTAAATGTATATATCTGGATATGTGGGGACCGCGTCTCGGCAAACTTAGTGTAGGACGCCCACAGGCCAGGTGGAGTGACTGGCCAGTGGACTGCGATAGGCTGATGATGATGATGATGATATGCCTGGTAGGAGGCAACAGGCTTGTTACCTATTACGTAAGTGGGACTCTGTCTTTCTCCCAGATGCGAGTGTGTAAAAAAAAGATTTTATGCATTATATTGGGTTAGGTTGTCTTCCTTATCAATCGGTCAGGGTAGAAGTTCATTTGTTGTGTTGTTGGTATATTTAATGATGCCGTTGTAGCTATCTGTTAATTTAAAAAAGTGGCCACGGCCATTAAAGAAAGGGCAATTTCTTCTTATAAGGCCTGCTGATCTGTAAGACTGATTTTGCCTACCGCAGACACTAGTGACAAAGGAATGATGTACCTAGTCTGACTAATTTGTATTTATAAGTTATACACTTGACTTTGTGATGAGAGATTTAAATAAAATTTTATTATTATGAGACTCAACCCTGTGGAAACAGGCGGTTGTAGGTCGAACGGGCATATCATAGATTTTCGATACGTATATATTTAGTTTGCTAAAGATTCGATAAAACAGAGATTGTTGCTACTGTGTGTTGATCTATTACTTTAGAGTCTACACAAGACACGATTTCAAACAATTAAAAAAAACATAAAAAAGAAGATATTTCGAGTATGAGTTCCTTTATTTACCCATCTAAATTTTCCGTGAGTTTTTTTAAATATAGCTAGCCATTTATAGCAGTCCCCTTACTGTTTTACACTTTCGTACTCAAATATTGATCTATCAACAGCCTTTACTAGTCCACTGCTGGACATAGACCTTTCCTTAGAAAAGAGGGTTTGGCCTACTATACCACGCTGGCCAGACGGGTTGGGATAGGGTTTGTTTCAAGTTTTCCTTCTCTTTGCACTGCTGTTGTCCAGCGTAGTTTGTTCCCTTAGTCGGCTCTTACGACACCCGCGGGTGATGAATAGGGGTGATGACATTCCGTATTCTTAATCCGTCACCACACGGACTACATTGATCTAAGATTAATTATTTATCATATGATTTTATATTCATTTTAGATCCAAATGCAATAGCTTCACGGATGCCTACGAAGGTCTATGTTATCCACCTGAGTTGGCCCCTACTCGCCGCATCAGACTCTACCGGAACGTTCTCTGTCGGTTTTTAGACCTGGACTACCACGGCACCACCAAGACAGACTTAGGGTTTGAAGGACTCCTTTACAAGATCAGTAATTCGACCTATAGAAATATTCCTGAGAATCAGTGTTTATGCAGTAATGGGATCTGCCATGACGGAATTTCAGATATTTCGCCTTGTATGTATGGTGAGTGACATGAATTGATTATAGTAATAAGGTAGAAAAATATTGGTACTTACATAATAACGCCAGAATGGATGAATAGTTCGGGGTGAGATTTGGCACTGAGATTTATTTTACTGTAATATGGAATAGAAGATATACTTACTTATTGAAAGTATAAATATAGTTAGTTGATTTCTGGACTATTATTTTAATTAAAGTCAGTGTTTTTCCATATCATCATCATCTTCAACAGCCTATACTAGTTCACTGCTATACATAGGCCTCTCCTTAAAACGAGGTTTTGGCCTACTATACCACGCTGGCCAGACGGGTTGGTATAGGGTTTGTTTAAAGTTTTCCTTCTCTTTGCAATGCTGTTGGCCTGCTTAGTCGGCTCTTACGACACCCACGGGATGAATTGGGGTGGTGACAATTTGTATTTGTTGTTTTTTTTTTCATATACTTTGTAGAATTTATTATGCAACATTGAGTTGTCTCCCACCCAGACCAAATATTGTGTGTCGATCATTTTAATCTGTTCTGTGTCTGAGTGTAGTCTATCTATAATTATTTTTATATCTGCTAATATAGAAGTATGTTTAATTAGTTACATAAATATGTGCCCAATTGACGGCAATAGACTTAAGTACGTAAGTAGGAATAAAGTTATAGTGGGCAGAACTAAGCGTTTTAAGCGCCTTTGTCCACCTCTTCGGGGATCAAAACGTGTGGTATAACGTATCTATGCATTATATAATATTTATATATGTATATTACTCGCTTTTGCCCGCAACGTCGTCCGCGTGGTGGTCCACACCAAGCATCGTACAGCATACAATGAATCAATATTATAGGTATATGTACCATACAAACTTGCACCACTTTTTAGGGGTAGTTATAAAAATTAGTAGTAGTAACAACATTTTTCATTCGTTTTAATAATGAGTGAGTTTGAAAGCTACTACCAAAAATAACGAAGCTTCATATAAATTTCCTTTTCTCTTAGGGTTGGAATTTTTGAAAATATTTTCTTAGTGCATATCTACGTGACCTAAGGAACATTTCTGCATAATTCCATGCTTCTAGACCCAGCGGTTACAGCTGTGCGTTGGTCGATCAGTCACTCCATGTCTGTCAGTTTCTTCTTTTATAGATGGACGACCGGATGGAGTAGTGGTTTGTGTTACGGACTACCATTCTAAAGGTCGCAGGTTCGATTCCCGTTCACGTCAAACATTTGTGTGCGTAACCATTTAATGTTTGATTTGGTCTGGGTGTTTCTATGTATAATATGTGTGTATTTACAAAAACAAAGTATATAAGTATTTATATCAGTTGTCTAGTAGCCATAGTACAAGCTCTGCTTAGTTTGGGACTCGATGGCGTTGTGTGAATGTGGTAGAATATTATAATTATTATAGACTAGCTGACCCGCGCAACTTCGTCTGCGTCTCTCAATAGTAATAAATTATCTCCGTTTTTGAAACATTCTTCATTGGTGCTCCGCTCCTATTGGTCTTAGCGTGATGATATATAGCCTATAGCCTTCCTCGATAAATGGGCTATCTAACACTGAAAGAATTTTTCAAATCGGACCAGTAGTTCCTGAGATTATCGCGTTCAAACAAACAAACAAACAAACTCTTCAGCTTTATAATATTAGTATAGATAGGTAATTTGTTTTGAATTTCCAGGTCTACCGATTGTTCTATCTAACGCCCACTTCATGGACACCGATCCGAAAATCTACGATAGAATTGAAGGCTTTACACCAAATGAAGAGGAACATGGAAGCGAATTTATTATTGAAAAGGTAAAAAAAACTGTGAAAAATCGTACTTTTCTATTCTTATGTGTAACATCTTTTCTCTTACTCATTTTTATCAGATACCTTTAGATGGGTTTGTTCGTTAAAAGATTTTTAGATTTTTGATGATTATTTAAACAAGAAAACTTATCAAGATTAGTTATTTTTTGGCCACAATATGGATAGATGCTCGTTCTTATGCGTCATGCGTGTGCGTGGAATTTGTACCATGACTCTAGTACACTTCGATGGCGTTAGGAATAAACTTCAGACATATTGTCTGAAGATTTTTCCTTCCGTACTTACATTGCTGTTTCTGTTTCAATTATTTGGTTTGTGGGTTTGGTTTTCATTACGTTAGCATAGTAAATATATGCACTTGAATACGTAAATGTATCAAGTCAATAATTTCTACATTAAACACTATAATGAACATCCAGGAAGGAAAAAAAATTAGATTTATTTGTCTCCACCATTTTGTTTGCAACTAAAATCATCTCTTTCTGCTCTAATTGACCTGGGATCTCTTTTTTTTTCAGACTATAGGCATGGTGATGACGACAAGGTTTTCAGTTCAAGTTAACATCATGATGCAGGATGTGGGCTTCAACTCAAAGATTAGCCGTTTCTCAGACATGTTCGTGCCAGTTGGGTACTTCAAAATTGTAAGAATTGTTATAGTTTTGTAGTTACTGAAGTCAAACTTAGAAATTAATTTTAATGATGTGTGAATCTTTATTCAAAATGCATTTTTGCGTAGTTCAGATACCATATCCATTGATCACACATCTCACACACAGCCTTCTGATCCCAAATTAGGCAGAGCCTGTACTATGGTAACCAGACTGCTGGTAAACATACTTCATCACACATCAACAGCCTTTAATAGTGCACTGCTGGACATAAGCCTCTCCTTAGAAAGGAGGTTTTGGCCGACTATACCGCGCTGGCCAGACGGGTTGGTATAGGGTTTGTGTCAAGTTTTCCTTCTCTTTGTTGCGGTTGTCCTGCATAGTTTTCTCTCTTAGTCGGCTCTTACGACACCCACGGGATGAATAGGGGTGGTGACACTTTGTATTCTTAATCCGTCACCACACGAACGTATACATACTTAAATATTTCTAAATACGTTCATATTATTGATAAATTACACCCAGACACAGAACAATTCTTGGTGACATTAAAATTAACTTTAAAATATAATTTGTCTTGGGTGGGAATCGAACCCATGACATCTGGTTTAGCAGTCAGGGTCACTAACCACTACACCAACAGTCAATGATATGCGATATGGTTCCTGGATCACGTTCTCCTTGTATTAACAACGCTACAAGTTAAATCGATATATTAACAATTTAATTAGTTAAGGGCATGACGAGGCTACCGTATTTTTGACCACAAATTTGAATTAGTTGAAAGCCCGTGTGAGTCATCACATCACTTTGTGGATTAAGAATACGGAGTGTCACTACCCCTATTCATCCCGTGGGTGTCGTGAGAGCCGACTAAGGGATCAAACTATGCAGGACAACAGCACTGCAAAGAGTAGGAAAACTCGAAACAAACCCTATACCAACCCAGCTAGCGTGGTACACCAGGCCAAAACCTCCTTTTAAAGGAGAGGCCTATTTTATTTATGTACTAGCTGAGACCCGCGGTGTTACCCGCGTTTGTTGTTATAACCGCGGGCAACGCCGCGGGGCGAAGCTAGTCTAAAAAAAGTAGCCTAAGTTACTCCTTATGTCATCAGCTATCTGCCAGTGAAAGTCCCGTCGAAATCGGTCCAGCCGTTCCAGAGATTACCCGGAACAAACAGACAGACAGACAAAAATTGTAAAAAATGTTATTTTGGCATATGTACCGTGTAAACATACATATGCATTTAGTAAAAAGCGATTATTTTAATATTACAAACAGACACTCCAATTTAATTTATTTGTATAGATGTATTGAGTATTTTATTTATTTTTCAGGTACAGCCAAAACTGACAGAAGAAACCCTGCATTCTTTGCGTCTAATTCACATCTACAGTCCCTACCTTCTACTCACAACACAAATATTATTCACGGCCGCTGGTCTTCTATTAATATCACAGTCAGCCAAACTTCTGTATTATAACTGGATATACGACCGAAGAAAAGGTTTATCATTACATTTACAATCAAAAGATACTAAGGAAGCAAGCGCTGAGCCTCTCATGAGGTGATAACTTTATATTTAGTTTAACGCCATCTGTTGGCATTGGTTGTAATTAGCAACAGTGCCTATTCTAAAAAGTTATTCAAAGTTACAAAAAAGGCACCATGACTATATAGTTTGTATGATTTGTAATTTTTGAAAACAATAATTTAGTATTATTATTTAGGTTTAAAACTAAGTTTTACCCTGATCGCCAAACAGGGTAAATTATAATTAAGTTTGTATGTATTTGCATGTTTATTTGTCGTGGTCAAATAATGGAATTGGTTACTTTATGATGTGATCGGTAATTTCATTAAATATTTGTATTTCGTGAAATGAACGATTTTATTATTAAAAACAATGAATAATGAATTAACTTATGCAACACATCATAGCGAAGGACAATTAGTTTAGTTTAAAAGCGAAAAATGTATAAATGAATGAAAAATTACAGTGAAATTACGTTACGAAAGCTTAAGAAAGCAAAATATATAACTTCTTTGTTTAAATGGAAAAAAATGATCAAACTCTTTTTACACGCTTTATATTTTATATATGTTTGTATGTATGTTTGTTTGTAACCAACTCCTTTGGGCGTGATTTTGACTGACTTTAAACGGTCAGAATTCGTTCAAACTTTGTGGATGTATCGAGGACCGATGACAATACACTAATTTAAAAAAACTAAAAAACACGCTTTTATAGAAAACCAAACTTTTTGTCTTGATACTGTGCAGTAATAACATTAAAAACTTAAATTATTGACAAATCATCAAATATTGACGTTAAACGATTTAGGTCAATTTTAGCTGGCCACATCATGAAAATGTCGATCACAACATGAAGTAATCAATTCTATGAACTGTAAACGACATATATGAATGTTACTGTACCGGTCTATTAATAGGCAGTAGATAGATATTTTTTTATTATTTTACACTCATAAGTTACGACAGAAAAACATCACACTACAAGAATATTATTTCTGGAGCTACAACACTTTTTGAAAAATAAAAGTATTATGATTATGACGAATAATATCTTTCCTCTCTCTTTTTCCTATATCTGTGGAAGTGATTTGGTAAAAAGGGACGGAAAAGTCGCTTTTACGTTCCTTCTGTTACTAATTTAGCTGTTTAATTTGACCAATGAGCGCGGTCGAGATAAAGTTGGCTCAAGTTGTCTGTCAGGATCTCAATTCTGCTATTCCAATATTGTATCGCTAGACTGTCGATGGAATGTCGTCGGAATTGTTTTGTACTTTTCCTATTCTACTAACTATGTAAGGCCAATGGCCTCCGGCTAACTATGTAAGACCAATGGCCCGATGACTTGTCAATAAACTGCCACTGATAAAAATGTCGTCGATGTCTTTGTAACAGTGTAGTAAACGGTACATTTTAAATTTGTGAGAAACTGATATATTTAATTTTCCAGGTATGGCAATGTTGTTGATATCACCATTGATGACCTATATTATTATATGGATAGTCTATTGACACTTTGAATTTATTTTAGTAGAATACTAATCTTTTGACCGTTGGCTTGGCGTTAACATAAAATAGCAGAATTGAGGCCCGGGTTGTAGTTGAGATGTTAGATAGTATACATCAGTCGACTGTAATGCTAAGGGAACGGACCAATACAACGTAACTTCTGCAATGGGGGGAGAGTGTTTAAAAAAAACCACGCTTGTTTAAAGGGGCGGGAGGAGGTCTTAGGTTTCCGTCACGTAACATACCTAAATTTTGTGTTTGCAAAAAATAAGCGTCCAGTTAGTATTTAAATAGATTAATTGCTATTTTTTAACGCCCAAAGAATATATGTTTATTAGTGTAATAAATTTCAGTTTATATAATATACAATTGAAAACAGTAAAGTATTTGTGTGTCTTTTAAAAACCCCTAAGTAAAAAACTACAATAAATAAGCAGCGGCATCAAATGTAAATATACTGAAAGAGTAGAAGGTATTTAATGATATGGCAAACGACAAGACATCACCTCACATCAACAGCCTTTACTAGTCCACTGCTGGATATAGGCCTCTCCTTAGAAAAGAGGTTTTGACCTACCACGCTGGCCAGAGGGGTTGGTATAGGGTCTGTATCAAATTTTTCCTTCTTTTTGCAGTGCTGGTATCCTGCATTGTTTTGTGCTCTTACTTGGCTCTTACGACACCCACGAGATGAATTGGGGTAGTGACATGCCGTAATCCTAATCCGTCACTACACGGAGAAGACATCACCTGGTGGTAAGGAATTATCGCCGGCCATTGACACCTGCAATCCAACCATCCATCTACATTTTTTTATATTTAATTGTAGTAAAACTGATTAGAGAATTAAGGTGATCAATAAGTGTTATATTCCTTTAAAATGCATGACATAAGGCCTCTGACTCTGAGCCAGCTATTTAAAACCTATTCACAGATACTATATATAAAATCGTATCCTTCCGTGTGGTGACGGATTAAGAATACAGAGTGTCACCACCCCTATTCATACCGTTGGTGTCGTAAGAAGCGACTAGGGGACCAAACTACGCAGGATAACATGCACTGCAGAGAGAAGGAAAACTTGACACAAACCCTATACCAATCCGTCTGGCCAGCGTGGTATAGTAGGCCAAAACCTCCTTTCTGAGGAGAGGCCTATGTCCAGCAGTGAACTGTTAAAGGCTGTTGATGATTATGATGATATATAAAATCATGATACGGGAAGTTTGGTATAACATATTTATGCAAAAAAAATCTCTTTTATAAATATATAAACATAATTTATAATACATCAATAATGCCTACTTCCTCTGCAATCCCACACATATTCTTATACATTTCTATCTTTACGTAACCGTGATCACCGAACGATTCTCCCCATGAGTTTTTCAGTATATAATGGGGTACCTCACTGGTGCGGTCAAACCCCACCACCTGGATAACGTGGTCGGAACTTGAGTCACTTCTGACACACGCCCTTCTTATAATACCTCCTAAATAAAAACGCCAGATTGCAGCATTCACCACAGCAGTCACAGGGCCGTTCATTAAATCTCTCTGCATGTTTTCTTCTGATTTTCTTACAGATGTCTGTCTTATACATCTGTACACAAAGCTTTTAAGTTTCACCCCTTTATCTTTCTTACGCAGCTTACATTTCTCTCTTTTTAAAGTAAAAGGGTATCTCTCTGCCGTAACGACATTCTGGTGCTCATTACATAAAATGACAAGAGACGAGGCTACGTTACCACCATTGCATCCATCCTGGTTCTTGTCTACCAAACAGTCGAGAATTTCTTGAATGCTTAAAACTTGGTTTGATTTCCTTTTAATGTTTGCCATGGATTCCATTACACCTGCTAAACCGACTGCCCAGCATCCTTTACAATGTCTCTGATCTTGGACAGGCCCTATTACTCCTTTTTCCCTCCAGTCAATTTTGTCTTCTATTTTAGACAACGGCGTAGAAGAATCAAGACTTGCATTATATGATGTTTCAAAACATAAACTGTTATATGATACACAATTACCACTCGAACGTTTCATCAACATCTTTTCTTCAAACTCTTGCGCAGACATATCAGAAAATTTGGTCAGTCCAAAAACAGCATCCTTTTCAAGGGCGTTCAGACGAGCAATTTCTTCTAAAGATGCCTGTAACATAACATACGAGTGTATATACTTAACATTACGAGTGTATATATGTAATACATTGTGAATTACGATAGCTGGATAGCCTGATTGGTGGTAAACTAGACATTAAAGCAGGATAACAATATGGCCAGCGTGGTATAGCAGACCAAAATCTTCTTTTTAAGGAGAGGCCTAATTTCCGTAGAAGACTATTATAGGTTGATGATGAAGATTGCAAATGCTGGCTAACCCTTACGAGGCATCAAACTTATGTACTAAGGCTGGGGTTCCCAATCTTTTTCAGTCCGCGGCGCACTTACAAGTTTAGTATTTTGTCATGACGCCCCACCCCATATAGCTATTTGAAATAGATACAGTCGAAAGAAAAAGGTACCGTTAAATAATAGTAGTTAGGCAGAAAACAACAAGAGGGACTCATCAACAGACTTAAACAGTCCACTGCTGAACATAGGCCTCTCCTTGGAAAGGAGGTTTTTTCCAACTATACCACGCTGGCCAGACGGATTGGTATAGGGTTTGTGTCAAGTTTTCCTTCTTTTTGCAGTGCTGTTGTTCTGCGTAGTTTGCTCCCTTAGTCGGCTCTTACGACACCCACGGGATGATTGGGGGTGGTGACAATATTCTTAATCCGTCACCACACGGACGGACAGACTTAGAAAGACAAAAATATGAAAAAGCCGTGTGGTGTCGTGGGACACCCGATAGGAACGAAGTTGTGACGATCGAGTTAAACTGATTTGACACGATTTTAATTACAACGCCATCTATGAAAGCGGCTATTACCTACATATTAAAAACAATTAAAACAATTTATACATTGGTAAAATCTCCTTGCGAAATGATTTCCTATCTATTCGATAGATGGCGCTGAATGTCTGACAAGATGACACGAAAATAAAGAGCAAAAAGCCAACATCACGTGGTATTCCCAGGCGGTCACCCATCGAAGTACTAACCACGCCCGATGTTGCTTAACTTCGGTGATCGGACGAGAACCGGTGTATTCAACATGGTCTGGACGTTGGCGAACGTTAAAGCAAATTTAATGTATGGTATCCACAGTTAGACGTCAATTTATATTAAAAGTGTCGTTCCAAATTTTCGTACGATTTTTTTTCGTCTAGCCCCCTTTCACAACGCGCGATAAGGAACTTAGTTCCAATACTGCTACTCAGTCAAATCAATGTGACGCGTGAGCTTGGTAATCTACACACAGTTTTTCCAAGCGGGGAATAAGGTTTGACACTGCTACTCTCATTGCTTGCTCCTAGTGAGCGACAACCACGCGACATAATGAGCTTCTTGTAACAGTTATTTTTTTTGTGCATTTGTGATACGTACGATACTGATAAAAGCGGCACCTGTTTGGCCGCATCGCTTTGTTGTTGATTTATCTAAAGTAGTTTGTAGCTACGGTATTGATCTCCTTTGTTCACTTTCGGACCACTAGATGGCGTTTGTTTGAGACATGATAGTTTAATTAAAAAGACTTACTTTTTAATCTGTTCTGGAAATCTGTCATGACATATTGCATAGGTATTGGGAGTGTTCAGCTATGGTGGAAAGCAAGTTACTTTTGATTTTGTTAGCGTTGTTTTCTTTCTCAAAGTAAATGTCAAAGTGAAATGATGAGGAGGGGTTAACTTCTGGAAGATTCCTGAACCGAGGATATATAGGTCCAGCTTTCTGCCACGGGAGACACTCTGCTATCTCGTGTCTTCCAACCTTAAATAGTGTTTTGATTTTCGTGTAATTTGAATTTCGTAATATGTAGTCTGTTTAAAGTACCCACACTGAAGTGGTGAGTATGTTCTTAATTCTACTTAAACCTATTTGTTTCTGGAACCTGTTTAATTATATGAGTGCTAATCCATTCGTAGGGTCCCAGATTTCGGGGTCAAGACGGTCAGTCTTAGACGGCGTGCTTGCTCTTTTGTGGCCTTCTGGTACAGACTCAAGTTTCTCGGTACCCTCTGGCAAAGCTGGTGATTGCGCGGCTCACGACGCAAGCGGACAGCCGTACCCAAGAGTTACGTACTTAAACTTATAATTGCAGATTGTTAAACTTTTATCCGTATCTAATATAAATAGCCGACTCGGGCGGAAGAGGAAGTAACCTCCTGGAGGGACGACGAGGAGGCACCGAGCACCATCAGCTCGGCTCTAACGCGCACCGCTGCGGTTTTTTTTTTTCTTTTTATTGTACCCACACTGTTTAATTAGTTTAATTTGATCTACTTTTTCTTTGAAATATACATGTATGTATAACTGAGGTGTAAGTTGTTTTCCTCTAAAGAGTCCCATAGGTTTCCCACACGCACACACTTCTATTCTCATACAAGGCGCCCTGAGGTAATCTCTTGAATCTCTCCACTGGGTCAGCCGGTGAGTAGTCCGCCAGAGAGGAAAAGCGGCTACCTACAGTGCAAGCGCTCAAAATATTGTTGTTACCCGCTAATACTTATGGTTACGGATAATGATAGAGGATTGACTCACGGAGCCCCTCTTTCCATTTTACGGCGCACCAGGGCGCCGCGGCTCACACTTCGGAAACCCCGGTAATATGGAATTGTATATCTTAAAAAGATCTACAAAAGAAAACTGCGATGGTATATATCTATCTCCTAAGGATAACACACAGTAATCATTTTTATCGTTTACATATTACAAAAATGTGTTAGGTTATTTACTAAGCTATTTTAAACAATGCAGTATTATTCTTTATCCAATTAAATACGTTAGATACGTTATATTTTTAACGCAGATCAAAATTGCCCTGTGCAGCATATCATTAAATTAATTATCTTAGAAGATATCAGTGAATTAACATGCGAGGGCAGAGCGGTGGTCGGGCCCTACATCCCTCCCGCCTGGGTCGCAGCGGCTGCCGGTGCAGAATGTGCCTTATTGTATGTATATATATCAAAATATCCTGTAGTATAGTCTAATCATAACCACATTAGTATTTACATTGCACCCGGGCGAAGCCAGGGCAGATCACTAGTTCTAAATAATTAATAATTATGTGAAAATTAAATTTAAGGATAAAAAATTTTGTTTTAACGGGGGGAATGCTTTTAGTACCATACCCTCCTTTGGGGAAAATTACATCATTTTTTTACTGCATAGTGACAGCGCCCGTCGTAGGAGAAAATTTATTAAAAGGCTTTAGTACAACAAAAGCCAGCAAGATCTGTAAAGAGATTTTCAATTCTGGGGAGGAGATTCGAGGGAGCCTTCTAGGGAACCTACGTACGTTTAGAATGCTGCTAGCACATTGGGGCAGTACAAGATGAGAGAGGTGTTAGACTAGATTGTACACTGTGCACTAATTATTGTGGACTAGCTTAAGCTCGCGGCTCTGCCCGCGTGTATGTCGGTTATCACCCTAAAAAGTAGCATATGTTACTCGCTGATTGTGTAGCTTTCCAATGGTGAAAGAATTTTTTAAATCGGTTTAGTAGTTTAGGCGTGAAAGCGTAACAAACAAACCAACTCAACCTGTTAGTCTAAAGAGCATGCACTCATTGCAAGTATTGGAAGTTTAACATTACTTTAAAACTTCTTAAAGTAAATTTGATCTGCTTATCTACACTGCTATCGCTAAAAAATAATGTTCTATGTTTCGAAAATAAGAGGGAATAAATTCTCATAGTTTAATTATTATTTTTCTTCAGACCCCAATAACAAGCACTTTCATTTGATATACTCTTATTATTGACGTGTCGAGTACAGTTTGTAAATGTATACATTTTTAATTTTTTCAATTAATATCTAAAAGTGACCCGTATACGAACTTGTGTAGGTATCTAATACATATCTATGTTCGGTTCACATACATACACGCGCACACACACACACACACGCATGCGAAACGCAATCTACAACCCACACAATTTGTTAAGAATAAATCCTAAAACTATGCAATGTTGCAATCAAGACAATTTAAAGAGGGGAAGACCTGGTGACGTGAAATGCACCCCAAAAGCCTACCTTAGGTACCAGTCTCCTACAATATTGATTCCTATTTTGTTATTGTAATTGTTATGATGTTGTGGTGAGAAAAATTAAAAATTATTATTATTATACATAAATATAATTAAGCGAAATTTCAACTTGAATAGCAATGAGATTTTTTGTATTTCACAAATGTGAAAGTGAGTTTGTTTCTGTGTTGGTTTGTTACACTTTCACTCCTAAACCAGTCAATTGATTTTAAAAATTCTTTTACCAATGGAAAGCTACATTTATCAGCGAGTAACATGTGCAACTTTTATAGCAATAACCGATATACACGCGGTCTTAGCCACGGGCAAAATCTGGTATAAAATAAATCAGTCACGTTTAAAATAGAATTTGTTTAACCAAAGTATATTTTATATTAACACTAGCTGATCCGGCAAACGTTGTATTGCAACAAAAAAAAAATTAGGGATGGTTCACCCTTACCATTCAAAATTGTGAATCTAAACCATTCCCAGATCCCCTTGAACACACACAAAAAATTTCATCAAAATCGGTCCAGTCGTTTGAGAGAAGTTCAGTGATATACACACTCACAGAAGAATTATATATGTAAAGATTAAACTTACCTTAAAATTGTCCAATCTTTCCTTATATTCCTGCGCAGAATATGTTTTATTAAATTGTTTGATATAATTGTGGAACGTCTGCAGTTCTAAATACACAACATCTGTATCAGACGTCTTTAGCAGATCACATTTAGACTTGATTTTCAGAAGAAATGTCACGAGAAATATAAGAAATATGAGTGTCAAAAAATACAAGAGGACTTTGGCCGACATGTTTTGTACTCTAGCCGTATAGTAAAACTGAATTATTTTCCTGTAATATTATGTTATGTTAAAGGCAAATAGGTTTCTTTTATATCATAAAAAGAGCTCCTGATGTGTTTACCTTATCTGTTATTACTATATATAAATACTGGGATTTATTATTATTTTTCCATAAGCCAAAAATAAAAGTATAGTTTTCAGTCAAACTTAAAGTTAGTTTTTTAAATTAATTTAACATATAAAAATATACATACAAAACTATTTTTTGACAACTCCCGCATTAGGCATATATTCCTGTGTTACGGGGACTTTACAAACACACATGAATCGGACACAAAGAACACCCAGATTTAAAACAACAATTTGTGGATCACACAAATTGTCGTCCCATGTGGGGTTTGAACCCACAACACTCGGCGTAATAGGAAGCAGCGTAGCGACCACTTTAACCACTACGCCATCCGTGCATTCAAAAAACCACGGTGGTTTTATCCCGTGCTATAATGAGTCTGTCTACTGTTCGTTGTTTACATTCATCATCATCAACAGCCTTTAACAGTCCACTGCTGTACATAGGCCTCTCCTTAGAAAGGAGGTTTTGGCCTACTATACCACACTGGCCAGACGGGTTGGTATAGGGTTTGTGTCAAGTTTGCCTTCTCTCTGCAGTGCTGTTGTCCTGCGTAGTTTGTTCCCTTAGTCGGCTCTTACGACACCCACGGGATGAATAAAATACATTATATTTGCACAATAAATAAACAAAACACTAAAAGTGTTTTTATATCGCTGCCATAAACATATCTACATCGGGTTAATAACATTAAATATAGCGATAAATGTTATTTTACATACAGCCAAATTAATTAGAATCCAAGCCACCAGTTCAAATCAGTAGAATCCACTTATGTGAGGGTATCCGTCCTATATTTAGGAAGTACTCTTTCAATTTACATTTTATATTTTGGTTCGGAATAGTTTTATGTATGTCTGAGGGTAGACAGTGGATAAGTCTTGGGACAATATAACCGGTAGTTAACCATGAGTTTTAAAATAATAAAACAAGAAATTCACACATCTCATACACGGCAGTCTGATACCAAACTAGGCAGAGCCTGTGCTATGGTATCCAGACTGCTCATAAACATAATTGAATATTTCTAAATACGGCGAACCCATGACTTCAGGGTTACTATCCAACAGGCCCGTCAAACAAGTGAAAGAACCTTCTCGAATTACAATACCTACTTTTATTTTTGATGACAATTGTCCAAGATATTATTACTGGGTCTTAGATTCGAACGCTTGGTCAAAAAATCACATTGCGTAGTTTCTTTTCATTATAGTAATGATTAAAATAACATTTGCACTTACTTGGGTTTATGTTTTATTTATTTATTCACTCTAAGAATTATATAATGAAAAATGAATTTTAATTTTAGTTTGTTATTGTGTTAAGATATGGAAATTAATTTAAATGTCAGAATATATATTCTAACATCATGTTATTACTACTTATTATGTGAGACTATGTTTTAAATTTCATTTATTTATTTGTTACTTAACATTATTTTATTGTGAATGATTTTAATCAACTTAAAACTATAAAAGAGCAGTAAGATATGCTTCACATCACATCAACAGCCTTTAATAGTCCACTGCTGGACATAGGCCTCTCTTTAAAAAGGAGATTTTGGCCTACTATACCACGCCAGTCAGACAGGTTGGTATAGGGTTTGTGTCAAGTCTTTGCAGTGCTGTTGTCCTGAAGTTTGCTTCCTTAGTCGATTCTTACTACACCCACAGGATGGATAAGGGTGGTGACACTTCGTATTCTTAATCCGTGACCAGACGGAGACACCACCAGCACACACCAAGATATGCTTGTATGTGATATAAGTTGTTACATTAACTTACGATTATAATACTGTTACTGCTGTACCAATTACATTCGTACAAACCGACAGACAATTACATTTTTTTTAATAATAACAATACTCGTAATACACGTGTGTTTGATTGCTATTTTATTAGTGTGTGTACACACGCACATGTGTAAATAATTATTATACACATTATTGTTTAAAAACATCTTGATAAACAATAGTTCATTAATCTCTGGCATATACAGACCCTGTAATTAAATTTTTATTATATTTATGTCTTAAATAAATTTCTGTTATTTTGCTTTAAAACCCTTAAGTTCATACAATGCGTGATATTGCTAATAGTAGCAATATCACGCATTGTATGAACTTTCCCTCCATTCACCAAGACTTTGATGGGGATATGAATCGTCATATCCCCATCAAATTCTTGGTGAATCAAAATCATATGAGCTGTAAACTTCCTAAACTTAAAATTCCAAGGTTGGATAAAAAAACAGCCATATTTATGGTTCTCTGCGTTTGTCGCATTTGTTTATTTTATGTGTCCCTGCTATAGTTTTCTGCAAAAAAATTACGAAGTAGTAACTAATAATTAATGCTGTTTTTTTCCTATGCGTTTCACTCGATTTCTTAAATTTCTCAAAAAATATAAGAAATCAAATCACATCATTACTCATCAACAGTCATTTAATAGTCCACTGCTGGACATAGGCCTCTCCTTAGAAATTATGTTTTACCCTACTATACCACCCTGCCCAGTTGGTTCTCTTTGCAGTGCTGTTATCCTGTGTAGTTTGCTCCCTTAGTCGACTCTTACGACACTCACTGGATGAATAGGGGTGGTGACATTCCGTATTCTTCATCCGTTACCACACGGATATAATATAAATAGGTAAATTCCTAAAATATTTTTTACTTATTATTAGGTTTTTACCTATGAAGTTTGTGGAAGAGCGATGGACCAGGTTCTCCATCTTTGATTCGAATTTTTGGCAATAGAGATCTGCTGCCATGCCCCATGTTGTCCGATTCGATCAGAAACTATGATATACAACTCCGACACTGGTTCTGGGTCTCAATATGTTATGAGATGGTCACCCATCCATAGACTGACCTGGATAAGGTCACTTAACTTTGCTATGTAAGATCACTTAACCTACCCGATTGCCACTTAGCCACGAGCCGCAGAAAACCGGTAGTAAAGCAATTTATCTGTTGCATTTCACTGAGTGAGTGAGGTTTCCGGCGCCCTACCCCCCCCCCCTCCATATCCCCCTCTTATGATAGCGTCGTTCGAACCTTCAAGAAAAGAGCATACTCCTTCCTAAAAGGCCGGCAACGCTTTTGTGACTCCTGAGTTGCAGACTTTCATGGCCGGCGATGGTCACTTTCCATCAGGGGACCCGTCTGCTCGTCTGCCCCCTCTAACATAAAAAAAAACTTAGGCTATGGTAACCGAATAACTTTAACATTAAAACTAACCATAAAAAAAATTTGCGATTAAAATGTGTCAAATAATTAAAATAAATAAAACTATATATTTTCTGATTTTTCTAAATTCACTTCCTTATTTTAACCTTAATACTATTTCAAATTTCATCAAAGTCTGAATTCCTGCTTCAGTTGAAACTGAAAACAGTTTTAGTCGTAGATGCCACAAAAAGATCTCATCAAAAATGGGCTTACCATTTATCCCACAACATTAATAGCACATTGTCTACTAATGTATTACAACTATTATTATAAATGCAAAACACTTTTAATGACAAGTTGTATGCGAATGAAATAGTAAAAATGACAAAAGAGTTTGCTTAGTAATACTAGAACTTAGTAGTTATATACAGACAAGGCTTTCTACCATCTACCTAAGTAGAGTTCTGGAATACTTCAGCCACATTGCCAGAAAGGATGACAGCAATTTGGAAAAGTTAATGGTCACGGGCAAAGTGGATGGAAAAAGACCACGAGGTAGAAACCCGACACGTTGGACTGAGCAGATCCGCACTACTCTCGACACCACAGTCCACGATGCTCTACAATCGGCGGCGGATAGGGACGGGTGGCGTCGAGTGATCCACAGCAAAGTCTTACTGCGAGGAAGCGGTCACGACCCTCAGCATTGAGGCAACCGAAGGGAGGAGGAGGAGGAGTAGTAATAGTGATATAAGCATCAGTTATAGGCATAACTGTCTACTGCTAGACATAGGCCTCTCCTTAGATGTCCGTGTGGTGACGGATTAAGAATACAGAGTGTCACCACCCCTATTCATCCCGTGGGTGTCGTAAGAGCCGATTAAGGGAGCACACTACGCAAGACAACAGCACTTCAAAGAGATACGAACCCTATACCAAAGCGTCTGGCCAGTGTGGCCAAGGCCAAAACTTCCTTTCAAACATTGAAAGGGACCGAAATCCAAAATCTGTAATTTTCTTATGTAAATAATAATTTAATTTATTAGAATCGGGAATAAGTAATAAGACTGCCTGTTTTGGCATACTTGGGCTGGTTTAATCGGATTGATACTACAGCCTCTCAGAAAACCGGTGTTAAGTTTTTTTTTTTTTCAGCGAGAGAGTGGAGTGATCCTGAGAGGTGTCTTAAAGGGTGGCAACGCTCTTCTGACTTCTGAGTTACGACCTTTATTATAAATAAAATGGAATCAGGTAAAAGATTTTACGTAAGAACTGTACCTGAGTCTGAGAAATAAATAAAAAAGTCAAAATGTGAAAAAAATATTAAACTAACGTAGGTGCTTCGTAAACTGTGGGAACATGTATAATTATATAATACACTAAACTTAGCAAATGACGTACAAAAGCTGATTTAAATTTTCTACATGACATAATTATGGAAGAAAAAAACCTACAGTGGAACATACAACCTCCTCCATTTTTTTAACTGATTTCGAATAATTACGAATTATACCATTTCGACCTCTACCACTCTGACATTCCATAAACAATATGTTTGTTTTGCCCAGATGTCGTACTAATCTTCGAATAAATTTCGTTTCTTTTTTAAATACAACTCCCGCACTAGGAATAAATGCTGTGTCGCGGGGACTTTACAAACACACATGAAACGGACTCAGAACAACAATTTGTGAATCACACAAAGTGTCG